TGACTAGAAACATTTACCATATAGTACTATACATTGTAATGTTTATAAAATGGTGGGGTTAATACACCTTTAATTATGGAAAAATTTTGATTGCCCTGACTCGCGTCTTTCTGTTCCATCAATTTAGGCCTTTAGCATGACGGGACTTGAAAGGACTTTAAAGTCATTATTTCTAAATTCGAATGGAAAGGTGCGATGCTAAGGTTATTCTAATTAAATATATTGAGGAGCTTTTGCACGTTTTGAAATTTAAAGATACACTTACAATCTGGAACTAATTAGAAGGTAACGCACACTTAGATTTTACATCAGCGATTCTACCACGCTTTGTGCAAACAAAACTTTATTTCCTAAAAAAGGGGTGTAGGGGTGTGGAACAATAGAAAGAAAAAGAAATCAGTACGGAAAACTAATGTCATCATAGAGGATATTATAATCGTGTAATAATAATAATAAAGAGAAGGATTCCAGATTGTACGTTCATGGCTGTGTATGTATCAATAATGTATCAATATTCAGATCACGTAATCTTTTAGTGGTTTTCTCTATAAATCAGTCATGTTATTATTATTTTTATTGAAATGATATTAACATACAGTCGAGTGACGTATTAGAAGGGAATTGGATTAAGTTCCTCAAACCGATCAGGACACAAAAAATTAAATTTCATTTTACAACGAATTATGGGTTTTCTACACCTTCTGATCTATATTTTAACATTGACTTTGTCCGTTTTATTTAGGTTTTTTTTTTGTTGGTTATCGTTAGTTTTAGCACTGGAGACCATTTGCATCTCTTAAGAGTCCTAGAAAGACGAAACAGCTATATGATGCAATGTACTTCATTATTCAGCCATACTGTGTGGATTTCTGTTTGTTGAAAAAAGACTTGAATGTCTATTTTACAGTTCTGTGTATGAATTAAAATGAATTGATCACTTTCTCCAAAGCTATGTTAAGAATATTGACAATAAATGATGGGGTTTCTAGCAAATATAACTGAAATGGGCGCGTCTATTACACATGATACCGCGTCGAGAATTTTTACTTACAGAACGGAAGCGAAAAAATTCTACCAGGAAACGTGTCCGTCTCCTAATGTTACCTAATTGGAGATGGCTCTCGTAACTAGTGATTTGCAGGATAGTTCTTTTCAGGGGAGAATAAAGAATTCTATATATATATTGAAACTCAGCCTTTTATTAGTTTATCCGTAATTTCTAATGTACTAATAATCAAAGATATTTCAGACTTATATTGTAGTAATATAATTCATGTAATTGTGCACAAATCTTTACAAATCTCACTCCTTCATTGGCTTACTTGTAATGGATGAGAGTGTGGTTATGAGTTTTGAAGGCGTACAATGACTGAATGTGACGTAAGGAAAAATTGTACTTACTTCAATAACAAATGTTCTTTAATTTGACTACGTTATACAACAATGTCCTATTTATAAAAACACGTAATTGGGTCAAATGTAATGATATCTAAAATACTAAAATAGCTCTGTACAAAAAGGTCATCTGCCGCGAACGGTTGACATGTTTTACTTCATTATGAATTCCATGAATTACATTTGTGATATCATTAATGCATTAGATTATAACTAGACTCTCAGATAGATTGTTCCCAACGTGAAAACCAGGACAAGGTTTTTCTTATACATACAAATTATTACAAGTAATTTAAAACAACGGAACCACATGTTGAAAAGTTATTTTTATAAGTATTCCATTGCCTTAGATCTTCCGATAATTTTTTTGCTATAGAGAAACTTCCTGTGTCACAAAACAGCTTGCAATAGTTTTAGTTTATTGTAAAATATATGAACAATTAGAAATAAAAAAAATTGATTAAACTGTTTGTTTCAATCCATTGTATGATCTCGTCCAGTCACAAATGGAAAACTGATCTGGGTTAGTATAGAATATATGCACTCGCTGTAATGTCAGTAATACATCCATACCGGCTGGCGTCAAATCATTACCTAGTAAATGAACTATCATTGATTTTGTCTGAGGCACAGTTGGAGCTGCAGTGTATGACCAGAGTCCTGCATTACACACGGATTTAATTGTACCAAGCGATCCTCTGTCATAGCACCTAGATAATGAATTAGTGATACTCTTCAAAACAAGTTGTATTTTAGCAAAATTTGTAACTGTAAACACCATATGAATAAGTTATGAGTAATCCCATCATTTTAATTATGGTTACAACCCTTGAATATTTTAATATAAGATTATCTGACAATATCTGATAACATAAATATATATTTTATGGCATTTTAGTAATCTGTTTTGTATTCATTGTTTAGCTTTTACAAAGGTGTCGCGGCAACTCAATCGGTATAGCGTTAGCCTATGTTGTTAAGTGAAAGGAATGTGTCCATTTATTCATTACTGTTGTAATAAAATTAGTCTTTTTAAAAAAAATGGTCGTTAGCGACAGTAAAAATATGATCTATTGACTCAGTTTCTGGAGTTTTGATAAAGCATTGCCTGACAATGGTACTGTGATATCATTATTTCTTTCTTACATTATTTGATATGATATGATTGTGGTAAAATATTTTTCCACTGATAACCGTAACTTCGGATGCCATTTACTTGTGAGTCTCTTGTAAAATCTTCGAGATTTCAGATAATAGACCTTGCTGACTGTTGGTAGATGTTAAGCACCCGAGGTTTTCCGTAACCTGCATGCTACGTTTCGATTCATTCGAATAGTGCCACGGTTCAAAACATACACATATACTTGCTCTTAAAAGATGAGATCATCACTTCATTTATTGAATAATGGGGCTAGTGAACCTCCCCGTCTAATTTCCTTTCTATCATTTTAGTTTTCCTCAGTCGCCCCCTATGGCAAAAACATAGGTTCTTGGTATCCCTGACGATCCCTAGAAGAAGAAACAGCATTATGATGCAAATTTAATCAATTGTTCGGTTATTCTTATGTCTCTTAAGTTGTATTAAAATGTGTTATTCACTTGTGTGTATCTTTTGTACAATTATCATTATTATTCATAAAATATGTAACCTCTTTATAAATGGTCCGAAAAGCAACTTAAATGTACTTAGGCAACATTAATTCATTTATTGGCCCCATATTGAAACGTTTATTTCCGACAATTTTCTACCTCTTATGTACCTGATATGTCATCAAATCCAAAAATATCTTAATTACCAATTTAAGAGATTTCGAAGAAAATAAAGTGAAATAACTTGTATTGTTACCTAATTTCAGTGTCGAAATATGAATGTTACAGTGTCTATTGTCTGTAGAATTAAGCATGATTACGTAAACGTACTTAACACAGCATATGACTACAAAAGAACCTTTTATCAGGACTCATCGGTCACGTTGCGACATCCCGTCAGAGACATGCTTGGTGAAGACAGAAGGTCTAACCCCACGACACTGTTATCATACAAATTAAAAATTTTAAACATGTGTCAGACATATGTATTGATCTGTCAATTTTAAAGTCAGGCCGTATTTGTATTTCAATGAATTATTTATCTTTGTCAACACCTATTCAAAATCAATCGTCCTGCCAGCCTGATAAAAAGTAAACTTTACATTAGATCCGACAGATATAATAAATAAGGCTGAATTATTAAAACGGAGTAACTGTGGTTTATAAGTAATGTTCAGAAAATAATTTGGTCGTACAATATAAAACTTGTGACCTAGCTTAGGGAATTAAATTGAAATAGAACATACGTGATATTTTCTGATAAAATGGATCTATATTTCATAACCAGGTTAAACGAGAAAAATTGTCAATATCTTTATGTATTATTTTTTCAAATTAGTGTGACACATGTCCCAGTTGTAAATGTTTTCACCAAATATCTTAATGCATAAATAAACTATGTAATTATATCATATTGGGGTTTAAAATAAAGAAGATGAAGTAAACGATTTGCTGTGTCAATGAATAACGTACACAGTATATAGAAAATGGTAAAGTTGTATGAAAATAAATGTTGATACCAATGGCTAATTTATGTGAACTGCTGGAAACGCTGGTAGTTCTCAACATACGAGTTTTGCGGAGTTGGCGGACGACAGATCGACCGACAGACAGACTCCAGTATAACCCCTAAAACTTCGTTACGAGGGTTTTTTTCTATTGAGATTTATGCATTAATTCATGGTGTGCTACGAACAAGTATTTATGAATATGTACACTAACACGATTTTCTGGACTTCAAACATACGGAAAGTAGTCTTTATTTGAATACGAAATCAAACAAGAGGCCCATGGGCCTTGACGGTCATCTAACAAAAAGCAAGCCAAACTCTAACAACAGTGAGTCTGCTGTTAAAACAGTGGGCTTTATTCATTTGAATAAACTTGATAGCCCTTCCTTCCAGCATCCTACAGTCCCAATATCAGCACTCTGAGCCTTTTGGTTACTGAGAAGAAGTCGTTTACAGATTTTAACATATTTGAACCCTGTGACCTTGAAAGTGGGTCAAGGTCATTTATTTGAACAAATTTGGTAGCATGTCATCCCAGCATCCTACTGGTCCATTATCAGCACTCTTGGACTTTTGCTTATTGAAGGGAAGTTGTTTGTATATTTTAACATATTTGACCCCTATGACCTTGAAAGTGGGTCTAGGTCATTCATTTGAACAAATTTGGTAGCCCTTCATCCCAGCATTCTACAGGCCCAATATCAGCACTCATGGACTTTTGGTTATTGAGAAGAAGTCGTTTGTATATTTTAACATATTTGACCCCTGTGACCTTGAAAGTGGGTCAAGGTCATTAATTTGAACAAACTTTGTAGGGATCCATGCCAGCATGTTATGGGCCAAGTATTAGCCCCCTAGGCCTTCTAGTATTTGAGAAGAAGTTTTTTGAATGAAAGTTTACTGACGACGCACGGCGGACGGCGCACGGCGGACGACGACTGACGAAGCACGATGGCTTCTTTCCCTTCTTTTCCAGATGACCTAAAAACACACTCGTACATGATACAAGGGTATGATTCTTTATTGATATCAGTATCTCGGTTGAAAATTATAAACTTATATGCTAGTAGATTTGTACATCATGTTACATCACAGGTTAGTTCAAATGTATAAAATATATAAATACGAACATTCGACAAAAAAACAATAGATTATTGTTGAGCTCTACCTGGTATTTTCACGACGACTGTAACACCTGTTTATCAAACTGTAACGGCTGCTGTTACCTCTTTCAATTGAACATTACATTTTCAATGATATTATCTAGAACATTGACCTAAACAAGTCCGTCAGCATGAAGCAATTCACTAATGTTGAGTACAAATTCTGCGTTACATAAATAATGTCTAGAACAGAATGGGCTAATTTAACAGAGTCTTACATGAGTTTGTTCCTGGGACGGATTATTCCGCCCCGAGTTACAGAGTTTGGCAAGAGACCATAATGCTTTTCTAGTGCTGGCCAGTCAAACTCTAAGACGAAGGTTAAGATATTTCTGTCCTCGGAACAAAGAACATTTTTGGTTATTTTTCTCACAAACTTAAATAAAAATAAGTTGTTGTGAAACAATGGTCCATGAAATGTGATGACGTCATCATTTAGCAACATGATTACGCTACATACAATGATGACGCTACACTATTGTGGGCAACGTCATAGCGCGTGCCAGATGTAAGATATTTCCCATTCTAACAACCATGGGGTCGTCCTGTTAAGTATGTGAGAAAAAGAAATCTTAATGAAACAGTAGAGGTCTAATTTGTTGTTATAATGAGTCAGCAGTTGTGTTTTATTAACAAAGAAGTAGGGATTTACCATATCGTTAATACCAATGAGAAATACACAGTTATATGAACAATATAAATAGTTACATCCAACATAAGTGAAATAAATATATATGTTTGTGATGAAATATCAATGTTATCATAAAACGACAATTAACAAATATCACAACAATCTCTTCTAAAGTTTACAAATCAAACAAAAATAAATTCATGGAATTGATCAAGTAGAAAACGAAATAACAGCATACGAAAATAGACACATCTACTTGAGCAAACCTGTAAAGGAAGAAAAATATTTTAATAATAGGAGGCACAATATTCTCAATCGTCATTTAACTAAGTTTACATTTCTCCTCCTTATCATCGGAGGAAAACTCGGGCGAACCTAAGCTTCCACATTCCATTCCTTGCTTTTCACAATCACTTTCTAAAACGTTATCATTCTTTTCAACATCTGTATCAAGATGGTCTTGTTTTTCCCGTTGTTCCCCATCGGCCGATTTATCGGTTGTATTCTCATCTTTCAGATCCCTTGTTTCAAGGAGTGCAGATTTATCACAGTCTGACATGTTTGCCGCGCTTTCTGCTAACTCTGAAGAACATTGGTAAGACTCAGACTCGCTGTCCTTTTCAGTGTCGATAGCACCGTCTTTGTCAATGCTCCCAATACCCGACTGCAAGTCTGCATGAGGTTCCGACGAATACCCCATCGTCCCCTGGTTTGTATTGTCATCCCTTTCCTCTTCCATTGAAACGATATTACTTTCCTCATTCACGTCATTCAGCTCTTGTCCTTGTTGGTATTCAGTTGCTTGTCGATCAACACTCTCTTCTATGTCACTGTTATCAATTTTATCAATACCCGTTTCTTTGGTGTAGTTCTGAGGGAGGTCTGACTGTGTGTCAGCATATTCATTCTCATTTATACCATCTGAATTGGCTTCGCCATCAGAATCGGAAATTTCTTCATCTTGTTTATTTTTCTGACTAGAGAGGTCTTGAATAGCTTGCATGTACTCATCATATCCTGTAGCTAGTTCTTCCGGTCCGTGTTCAATATCTGATGGAATACCCGAATCCGTTTGATCACATTCTGCCGCTAACTGTTTTTCTAATTCCAGAAATTCGTCTACAGATTCATCGACATATCTAGCCTCTAAATCAGCATCTGCATCTTCTCTATGGTCGCCAGATTCGATGATTTCATCGTCGTTTTTGTCTGATTTTTCAACCTCGACGTCGTCATCAGGTGAACTAGACGGTATGTGATATTCATCAGATTCCTGGAGATATTCTTCGCTGTCTTCTCTCTCACCTTTTACGAAATCTCCCTTTTCAATCAAGTCTTCATCTGAGATATACTGTGCATCCGTATCGTCTGGTTTCAATAGAGATTCATAAATACCCATATCACAATGTGTTCCCTCATCATGGCCATAACTATGGTCAGTATGTTCGCCGTCGTGTTCACTTTTTGTATCCTCAGGTTCTTCCGGTATTTCATGTTCTAGATCATTTTTGTCAGCACCTATGAGTGTGGTAGTTTCAAGAGGGCCGCCATTGTTGTCGACATCACGGGCGTGAGTAACATTGACCTTAATTGGACTCAAAACATCATCAACGATGCCATCTGGCAAGACACAAGGTTCGTGAAATTCTGAAATATGAAATAAATGATTGATGAAAATTGGCATAAATGTGACCGCACTCTCTTTTTATTTTTGGAATTAAGTAAAGTATTTACCGTGTACTTTATAGGGTCTGATTAAACGATTATATATGCGGAAACATAATCTTAACAGGGAGTAAACAAGAGATAAAATTATACACAATCATGATCTAAAGCCAGGCATATGTTTATTATTAACAAAAATCCTGATGTATCTACAGCAAATATCTTATTTCAGAATCTTCTGTGTGTTGTCATGCAGTAAAATTTACGCCTACAGACCAGGTATGATGTAGTTAGCAAAAATAGATTTTTTTTAAATATACACAAGCGGAAACTTTATAAATATTTATTTTCAACTTTCCTCCGTGTCCCTTCCTGCTTTATGGTACATTAGGGTATATATATTACATGTATATGTAGCGTTTTATTATCATTTCGTTCTAGATGTATAATATCTAGAGCCATATGAAATTGTTACATTTTTTAATTATTGCAGGTATTGTGCTTAACATCAAATAAGTGTTAAGTTAACGAATGATTGGGTAGAATGAAGCCAGTGTTACAGCATTGTTCTATTAGGGTTGAAGACCTCACGGACATGCAAGTAGTTACGAAACGTCTTATTTTCCATATTACAGTATGTCAACATAAACTCGGATACATTCCCAGTCGCCTACATTGTGTAGATTACCGAATCACAGTTGTAGCATGTGACTTTAATAATGAAAGATTCACATTACGTTACACAAAAATATGATGAATTGCGTTTTCTCGCATCATCTACCAACTTTTGACTGGAAACTTTTTATACAACCTTGACAGCGAGCATTACTCCAGGTCCCGGTTGTTCAAACGTTAGTTAAGTTAACCAGTTAAAATTCTGCCTCTGCACACAGGAGCATTAAAGACTAAGGTAACATTGAAGATATATCAATCTTACCTATCTCATCAAATATACAACCGTGAAAAGATAAAATTGTTCCCGTATTGTTTAACTCATCTTTGACAATTTTCACAAACCACAGGTCTGGTTAGCTCTACTCAGCCTTAGAATTACCGGGGTCAGATCTTCAACACACAATTCACAATTGGGATATACCCCGTGTGGTACATTAGCGTGGTGTTTGTCGTAGTGTAAACGCGCATGTCTGGATGTAACAATCATATTTTTTTGCATGCGATAGAAAACGGAATAATAGGTAATTTTCCGCTTCTAGGTAACCAAATGTCACTGTACATTGTGTATAGTCGAATCTGCTACAAGTAGGGTTAACATTGTGTTAACTACATATTACTTGTTCTCCGCACGTGCTAAAAATGTTTATTTACATATAGTAAATTATATATACATACTTTGAATGCAGCGGAAGAAAATATTTTTTTTTTGCGTTTAATAATCACACACTTTTATAAAACATTTAAAAACGAAATTGACCTTATAAGCATTGAACCGAAAGAATGACATCATTTTGGCGTCATGACAACAAATAGTTTAAAAAGCAAATAATTGCTTTTATTTCTATTAATACATATATATATGTGTCACATTAAATCTAGATTTCATGTCTCTTCACATTTAAACCATGTTCATATAAAATTTTGGGATAGAAGCAATGATTGTACATTTACAACAGGTTAAGTATTGATAAGACAGTATACTTTTGCAAAACCTCATTGTCTTGTGTAAATATTGATAATTGTGGTAGGCAGAATCCATTTAGAGAATATGCAATGCAAGCCTAAATCATCGACCATAAATTATACAATAACACATCAAATCCTTCCAGTTATCATTTTGGTAGAGTTTAAAGGATGACATTATCAAAACACACACTTTAATAAACATATTGAATCAGGTACTGAACTTCAAATTTAATGACAGATCAACTCACTTCCGTGTGTTGCATGACTTATGTAAAGCCATAGTGGTATTATTAGAAGTCATCATTTTCGTCCAAACTTATCTTAAAGTCCTATATCATGACAAAAGATCAAGTTAACAGGACTTATAGTGTCGTGTCTGCATTGTATCATTTAAGTAATTCTGTTCGTTTTCTCTCATAAATGTTCATTCCAGAAAAAAAATTCGTTCACACTGCTGTTTATATTTAATGAGAAAGATGAACGATATTTCTGATGTAAATATGTTGTAAGTTATAACTCATGTTTTCAGATCAATCTAATGTAGAATAAAGAACAAGACAAACACGTGATCAGTATTTCAGATGATATTTTATGCATGATTTGACATGCATGATACATATATGAGCTTTCATACAAATGCAGATGTCGCAATTATACCAATGATAGTATATACAATAAGTAATCCTACACGCGATGTGTTAGTCAAAAACATAAATAAACAAAAAATACATTAATTCAAAACTTATATAACTGTAACATAGCTCGCAAGATTATAATAAGTGTAATCCAAACTTGAAAATTCCCAAGCAAATCAGTTAATGCATTCATAAATACAGGTAGCGATATTAGGGCCACCTTACATTCGTAGTACATCACCCTTTAAATCACAGTCAGTCAATTAAATAGTTTACTTATATAGATCATCTAAATGGTCAAGTCAACAACAAGCTACAGAGCAGAACATCACACATGCCCATAGCCAATTCAACAGAAGCGAAAAATACAGGTCACATGCACATATTCTGAATTCATCGTTATTCATCGTTATTAACAGTTCTAATACAAACAAATGTATGAGTGTGACAGGATATGTTAAAACATCAGCATGCACTCTTTTTATTGATATTTTTTCCCCACATTTTTTTTTCAAATTTCTTCTAGTCAAAAATTTCTTAATTTTGATATTTAATAAATCAACGACAAGTCATCAAATCAAATTCTGAAAATAAAGACCAACAAAATTAATTTATCTATGATAATTTGCTCACTTGGAAAAAAATGGCTGGGCAATGGAAGGCACACACTAACAACACCGATAGCTCAGCACATCCAGCAGTTTAAATGACGACTATTAATCAGATTATTTGTGTTGTATGAAAGTTGAACTATTAAGGTAGAATGGGATATTTTCATTGTGTTTATTTAATTCATTGTCATAAAAATAACCCTGATATATAAAGTTTACCAACATCAGATGAGTGATCTCTGTTGTTGAAAAAAAGATTTGGTCGATTGTGAGAATATTGCATTACGTACATCATTGAAATGTACCAAACATCCTATTATTACATCTAAAACAGTAATTGAATGTTCCATCATAATTATGAATGGCAACATTACCTAATCCTTAGTTTAAGAACCCTGCTATTTTTGATTGCACTTATAACAATACATTACCACTTCTTTTACTTATTTTCACAAAGAATATTGTGGCATTAATCCTTTAACAAAGTGTGATTAAAAATAAAAAGAGAAATCCCCATACATGTTATGTTTCCCACTACCATACAAAATACTAAATATGGGTGCGTTATTTGTCAAAAACCTTTTCTGACATCAAATCTGTCAGGAAGGATATTCTTAAATCAACCTATATTTAGAACTGCAAAACAAGAAAAAAATAAATAACTATGCACTAATATTTAGAAATTGGCTATGAAATTTGTATGGTATTCACTAAGCACAGACTGATACTCTTTATCATTCTACAATAATGGGTATCACTTATAGTCAGTATATTGTTTGGTCTTTAAATAAAGACATGCAACCTTCTCCATAATTCTGCTAAAAATAAAATATCACATTTCAATTATGTTTCAAATTAAAACAATAAAAAACCACTTGTTTGTGTCTAATTAATGATATCATTATCAGGTCTAGGACATGTTGTCTGTTTGATTAAACAGCACAATGTAAACTTGTTAAGATTATAGCAGTTAGGATACATTTTGTAATTATATTCTACATCAATGTTACAAAACCCTAGCCCTAACCCTAACTACAAAGGCACCAGTTATTGTTATGTATTTATTCAAATACTCCACTTCAAACTTCATTTCTACAGATCACCTCATGTCCAATAATTTTTACTTTTTGCTTATTAAAACTTCCTTATTTTATCCTGATGATGTTATCATTTTTAATAGACCTAAAGCTGTCAAAGCTTATCTTGAAGTATGACATAATGTGATAATAATTTAGTAATCAATATTGTATATCAGAACAACATTATGGTCTATACTATTTAGGTTGATAAAGGGACGAAAGCACAAATACTATTCTGTATTGTTTAAATAATGTTATTGCTTTCCCTGAACTATGTTTCTTTTAATTCTAAGCTAAATGTATTTCATAAGAGAACATCTGAAGTTCAATGTCGGCATAATACAAATATAGTGCCGATTATTAATACACTCCATATTACATTTAAAACCATAATCCAACAAGGCAATGACATTAAAACGTGTGTGCCTTGTCAAATATGTTTCATAAAGACTTGTTTGTACAGGGTTTAGGTAAATATACTTTTATACATACACACTTCATCTTTAATCCTAAAGGTATTGAAATAGTCCTATAAAAAGTCAAACAAAACACTGATCGTGATCATACCCTCAATCAAAACAGACATCTCACCTCCACCCTCTTTGGATGTAGTTATTGCCTTCAGCTAGTGGTGATAGGAAATTCCTTTAATTGTATCTTTCATGATTTTATAAACAAACTAGAATATTTTCATATCTGAAAGGTTTAAATCATTATGCTAATGATATTTAAGAGTACAGCCAACAAATCTATTTTAACATTTCTAAAGGTTAGGTATCAATTATTTGGAATTAGAACCAAGTAATTCAATACTCCTATATATCTGATAATTATTCTACTTTCATTTAGAAATATCCATTTGGCTTTGAAAATTCAAGTCATAAATATTAGCAGATAAGGTGGGCAGTGAATCTGTCCTTAACCTTACACAGTATTAGATGTATGTATGTATGTACCAAATAGTTTTAATGTGCCTTTGTGTGACCTACTAACAGAATTATGAACTACTGATATTG